TTTTTTTTTTTTTTTAACAAAAGATGGTAGTTTGCAGAGAAACGTTCTGTTCTTTTATGGTACTTCGTAGTTGCATACCTCTTACTCATGTAGGTAGCTGAAAATGTATCAGCTTTTTCTGGTAACTTTGAAGAAGTCCTGGAGGCTGGGTAGTGCAGTCCCTCCCAGGATCAGAGCAAAGTAGGAGTGTGTGGCACAGTAAAGCGCTCCGGCCTACAGCAGCATTCATGGATCTGTTGCTTAGGATTCATATCCCCTCCTCGTGTTTACACCAGCAAACCTTTTCACTGTTTCATTGTTATATTGCAATTTGTTGGCAGAAAAAAATGTTTTCCAGAGGAAGAGACTTTGGCCATTTAGACAGACTTACATAATTACTATGTCATTATAGTTTGGGGGGTGGGAGAGGCTTAAAACAGCCCATAGCCACAGAAGTCTGTAAATCCTGACCAAGAGGGATGCTGATTTAGCATTCAAAAGCCAGAGTGTCTGCTGCACATACCTGTGCTGTGCTCAGAGAGCACAGCATCTGTAAGAGTTACAGTCCTTGATCCTGTGAGCATGATACACATTTCCCTCTTCTCCACTAAATAACATCAAACCGCAAATTTATCTTGTATTAAAATTTAGTACTGCTTTTGGCTTTGTGTTTTCTAGGTGAAGATGCAAGTTCTTTTTGTGCCAGTTCAGTGGAACAGTATTACAGCTGGAATATTGGGAAGAGAAGGGCAGCCGAGGTAATCCTCTCCTGTGTTTCATAAGCAGTCATTAGGGACACAAGAAGGATTTCTGGATTACGGAACCTTCCTTACTGTTGGTGGTTTTGTTTCCTGAAGCATTTCTGTTGCATTTTAAATATAAGCATTCCATACTGCAAGACACACTGATTTGTGTCCAGGTAGTTTATCCAGTTTCTTGTTCAGAGACTTTCTGAAGCAGAAGGGACTGTAAAGGTCTTGTTTCAGTTGGTTCAAAGTGAGATGTTCTAGAAGCATTTTCAAGATCAGAATTTTTGTGAACTGTCCTGTTAGCACTTTATCCTCATCACTCCTCTGCGGCATATTACGGTCATGGGAATTTTACCCAACCTACTTTGTCTATCTTTTCATGGGATTGTGTCTGCTTTCTGTAGGAAGAGACTTGAGGGATCTGACGGAGGCAATGCTAGTGCTGAAATACATTGTCAGTTCACTGAAGATAAATATTTCAGTAACTCTGGACCTTTTTGTATTGTGGTTGTTATGTGTTCCCCTGGGCCTCTATAAATGTGTGTCCTTTTTTCTTGAGGTTTTGTTTGGATGAGAAAGCAGAGTTTAAATGAGCTGCCTACAGCTGCCTAATATCAGGATTAGGACCATCTTCCACATTTGTTTTTCCTTGTCATTCTGACTCCTGAGAAAAGCACATTCCTTTTGTTTTCCTTGCAACCTGGATTATTGTCCTGGGCCATAGTGTAGCCTTGAACGTTTTAGCCAATGTGGTGAGCTTTCCCTTTGGTTTGTCACAGTGGCAACGAGCAATGACAGTGAGAAAGATTCTGCAAGAAATCATAGAGAAGCATCCCAGGTTTCACAATATCACACCCCTGAAAACAAAGCACGTGGTGCACTGGTGTCGATGCCATGGCTACACTCCACCTGACCCGGAGACCTTGCGGACCGATGAGGACTCCATTGAAGACGTGCTGACACAGATAGACAGTGAGCCAGGTGAGTATGGAGGCACAGAAAGCTCCTTTTTTGCCAAAGACACTGTTTGTTAAATGTCTCAAAACTCTGGTTGTGCAGGCACATGTGCTGCTCCTTTAGGAGAAGGGGACTCTTACTTTGGGTTTTGACTTGATTCACTCTAGAATGAAAGAAGTTGGAGATCTTAAGGGCATGCCTAAAAGTGAGGCTGCCCTGCGTCCCTACCAGTCCTGATGTTCTCTGGGGCCTCTTTTGGGTTTTATTGTGCTTTGGGGCCTTTGGAGGCCCAGCGTAGATAAATCTTAGGGGCGATGATTCTTGCCCCCAGAGTGTAATCGTTTATAAATAGGCACACAAACAAAGTGTAGGGAGTAATGACAGTTCTACCCTTGTGTAAGCTTAACCTCTGTTAAAAGACTTACAGTGCAAACAGTGTGAATGAGTTCAGATACAAAAATAACTCAAAAGTGGCAGCATGGAGCTCAGTGAGGGTTAATTTACCTTCAAAAGTGAAGGGAATTGGCCCGTGTGAAGCTTCACGTTGTGTTATTACAGCTGCTACATTATTGTACTAGGCACAGCTCTTGGATCTCCACGGTCCATTTTAGTATGTATTAAACATACATCTTTAATTTCATCTGTTCTTCACAGTTAAGCTCCTCCTTTTGACCTTCAGATAATCCCTTTCCCAGAGCTGAATGTTCTTCTGTTCTGATCATATAGGGGTTTAAGGTTATCCACAGGAGTGTATGGATTTGATTATGCCTTGCTAAGTCTGGCCCTGCATTGCAGTTGTTGAAGGTGGAGAGGAAGCCTTCATCCACCTTGTAATATTTATATCTAAATAACTAGATTTGTGCTTGTCTTTGAAGAAAAACATCTGTTTATTGTCTAACTTGCGCTGAAGGTTTTACTGGCTCGTGTTGAGCATGAAGAGAAGAGGTTACCCTTTTGAAATTCCACTGCGAATCTCTCTTCTGATTTTTCTTAAACAGGATGCTGATACTTGTCACACACAGTAAAAACACCATTGCTCCAAGCAAGTTGAAGAACATCCAGACTGCTTTGTCAGTTGTCAAAAAGCTTCTGCGAGAGTGTTTAGGAGACTCATATTAGCCTGGTTTTGTTTGAAATGCAGCCTTCTAGGGTGGTGTAGGGGCAGATGAGGGAGAGGACCAAGATATAATTAGGCTTTCAATGGCTGTTTGCGTTTCTGCTCGTCCTTATGTTTGGTAGGAACTACAAAAATAACTCCCAATTACCTTAATTTCTTAGCATATTTTGAGTGTGCATCTGTTTATAAACAGCTTTTCATAACCTATCATGTGTTTAATTGATTGCTTCTTTTTCAGAATGCCCTTCATCTTACAGCAGTGGTGAGGAGCTGTGCCGAAAACTAGAGGAACTACAGCAGTTTCTGAAACGAGAACCAGAACACGAAGAGGAAGTAGACATTCTCAACTTTAGTGAGCCATTAAAAATAAACATTAAGAAAGAACAGGAGGAGAAACAAGAGGAAATGAAGTTCTACTTGGCTTCCTTGCCTGCCTCAGAGTTTGTGAGGGATGCTGCAGAGAAGGTAATGAGTGACTCAGAATGGCTTAGGTTGGAAGGGACCTTAAGGATCATCTCGTTCCAACCCCCCTGCCCTGGGCAGGGATACCCTCCACTAGACCAGGTTGCTCAAAGCCTCAATAAGAACTCCTGTTAAGCTAGTTTTGGTCTTACATTTATTTAGTTGCCTGCCTTTCATCTGTATGGGCCTCTGGATGATTTCTGTAAGTGCCCTGGAAAAACTGGACCTTCTGACTCATGACACTCAGCTGGCCAGTGCTGGCAGGGGTAGGTGAAGCCTGCAGGCCAGGAGGTCATTTCAGAGTGTCTGTGTTGCAGGGCTTATCACTACAAAAATCATTCTGGAAGGCTCAAAGCAAGGGGAAACGGGGGAAGAGGAGCATTGGCACTGAATCCTTCCTGTCCCATCACATGAAATGTTTGGGCTCGTTGCTTGGAGCACTGCTGTTTAATAGCAGCTTCTGAAAAGAAGCTGTGGTAAAGCTTAGACCACAGCAAACTTCTCTACTGCTTGGGCTTCTTCCCCCTGTCCAGATTAGGGGAGAGAAAGAGAGGTGGCTCTTGTCTCCCAGCAGCAGGAAGGAAAGAGAGGAGACGGATAGAGTGTTTACCATTGTACCAGCAGAGGCCGGAGCAGGGGAGGCGTTTGCATGCGGCAGCTGTGGGAGAGAGAAAGGGTGTCTGTTTCCACCTCAAACGACAAAGGGACAAAACTTTGGTTCTGCAGTGTATCTGGTCTCTTGCCACGTGTGGCGAGGGCACAGGTATGATGAGAGCGTCACTGGGGGTGGAACACTCTCTTGATGGAGAACTTTTGTGCCAGAACTCCTGTTTGAAGTGGTTTCAGTTGCTGTAGTTAAGTGCAGGAAAGATTAGGAATAGATGGATAGTTTTAAAATGGAGCTTCCATTTTCAGCCCAAAGATACCCAATGCAGCCTGGGTTTTGTGTGGACTTCCTGAAAAAAAAATGAAAACGTGCTTTTGTTTCTTCTGTGTGTTAGAGGCATTTCTGCAGGCTGTTCTAATAGTCAAGCTTCATTTTTTCCAGATTCCTTTTTAAAATGTAGCCTGAGACTGCACTCCTTGAAAGTTGTGCAGTGTGCTTGCTTGTTTTTTAACTGCTCTTTGTAACAGATTGTTTCTGTTACCTCATTCTCTTCTCATCTGCAGCAAAACATGGGTTGTGTTATTTGATGTAGTAATTTTTCCCCTCTCTCTCCCGTATTTTGTAGATAGGGATTTCTTTTCAGCCTGCTGAGGTACAAAAGAATGTTTATGCATCAGTAATAGAAGATATGATTTTAAAGGTAAGAAATTACTTCACATTAAGAACTTTTCTGTAACTCAACACAGTAACGTAGAAAAAAACCTTGAATATCCTTATTAACATGCATTTGTCAAATCAGGCGATGTGGACTCTGATGTGTATCTGTGTGCATGTATAGAATGATGCATAGCTGACCAAAGTCTGATCCTTCTGTGTGTGTTTCCAGCTTTCTAACTGATTTGTTGGCTTGGACACAGAATAGGGATTGGCAGATTATTGCCTCGAGCAACATACTGACTCATTCTGTAATTCTGAAAGCACCCCTTGCTTTGCCCTACCCTTCAGAACTAGGCGGAGGGGGACTGCCAGAGTTCTGTAGGACTTGGTTATTTTATAAGAGGTTAGCCATTTTTTCCTAAATACTGTTCAGTTCCTCTTTGCCTAGGTTGTCTCTGCTGGGAGACTGCTGAATTCCTGCAGACAGCAGCAATTCTGCCTTGTATGAGAAACCACTTATCTATCATAATCAATTTTGGAAAACCAGAGGCTGTTTCTTACCAAAGCTTTGAACAGCATGGAATTGAAGTTCTGGGGTTTGGACTGAAGGCTAACACAGGCTATTTTTAGCTGTGCTCTGCTGTGTTTCAAGCCAAAGATAAGCCTCGGGGTTGTTTATAAAGACTGCTGCTTATCAGAAGATCAGTTTTACAAAAGCTAATTAATTCCAGGTTATACATGCACATGCATGCACAGTTCTGCTGTACAGTTACTTACCATAGTTGAACTCAGACACAGATACATCCATTTGTGGACACAGATTGTAACCATCAGATTGCTCCATTATAATTTTAGAGCTCTGCCAGCTTTCCCCACTGAACGTCCCAGAAACCTCTGCTCTAGTCTTGATCCAGGTACAGAAAGCCAAGAGCCTTAATTAGCTTTTGATTGAACCTTGATTAAGCCAAGTGTGTAGGGCATACGGCTGCCATCTGCTTGTTGTCCAGGCTGGGTGGTTTTTGGGAAAGCATCTTGACATAAGCCTGGTGACCACAGGGAATGGCTAACAAGCATATAGCAGCTCCCAGGAGAATATCTGGAATCTGCCACGTACATAACGAGCTTTGGTGTGTCAGAGGCAGGGCCCTAAAATGCTCTTTGAAGCACAGGCTCTGGAACACTGGATCCACCCTGCTGTGCAGGTCCAGAGAGAAACCAGACCGGGCAGTTGCAGTGGAGCTCTCTGCATCTATAGGTCTCTTCCTTTCTGTTATACTCAGTTCTTGTCACTGTGCCAGTAGTACCACTTGGGCATGGACTACAGGGTTGTAGTGAGCCAGAGTTTCAGCTGCTCACGCTGATGCTCAAGCAGATAGCATGTTCCTTTCCTCTTTTCCTAGTGCTGTCTCCTAATGTTGCCTTTTGTCACAGGCCACTGAGCAGCTTATGAGTGATATCCTGCGGCAAGCACTGGCTGTGGCATACCAGACGGCTCCTCACAACAGGTACAGCAGCTTGTTTCCTCTTACGCCCCCCTGTGCCAGCACTGAGGGCTCAACTGCTTGAGGAATTCATTCAGATTAGCTCAGACCGTGTGAGTCAGGGAATTTATGAACTATACTGTGGGAAGATCCAAGCCTTAGGAGGGGTTTTGTCATCTCTTAGCTTCATAGTGGCAAAGGAGTGGTAGCATCGACAACATTAAAAACCGAGGCAGGACTCTGGTGTTGCCATGCTCAAAGGCAGATGACCTGTTTCTACAGAGCCACGTTGGAAGAACTTTTTCACTCTTGTCCATCTCAGGTTACCATGGAGACAACTTACCCATGGCCAGACAGAATTTAAAACAACCTAAATAATGTCTTCTTTATTTTACTGATATAGTCTTTCTAGCTCAGATTGAGTAGAAAGATTGATTGATTTTTATGGTAACGATTAGGCCACATTTTGATTGCTGTTCAGCACCGCAATTTGGGATAGTTTGAAACTTGGGGGGTGGTGGTGGGGTGGTGCAGAAACAAAACTATGAGAAAAATACCTAGTTTAAATATTTACTTGTATGCAATATATAAATATTTATATACTGTATATTAAACATAGAATCACAGAATGGTTTGGGTTGGAAGGGACCTTTACAGGTCACCTAGTTCCAAGCCCCCTGCCATGGGCAGGAACATCTTCAACTGGATCAGGTTGCTCAAAGCCTCATCCAGCCTGGCCTTGAACGTTTCTGGGGATGGGGCACCTGCCACCTCTGTGGGCAACCTGTGCCAGTGTTTCACCATCCTTGTAAAAATTTTCTTCCTTATAGCTGGTCTGAATCCCTCCTCTTTCAGTTTAAAACCATTACGCCTTGTCCTGTCACAACAAGCCCTGCTAAAAAGCCTGTCCCCATCTTTCTTATAAGCCCCTTTAAGTACTGAAAGGCCACAGTAAGTTCTCCCCGGAGCCTTCTCTTCTCCAAGCTTAATCCCAGCTCTCCCAGCCTGTCCCCATGGGAGAGGTGCTCCAGCCCTCTGATTATCTCTGTGGCCTCTTCTGGATTCGCTCCAACAGGTCCATGTATTTCCTGTGTTGGGGGCCCCAGAGCTTCATGCAGGGCTCCAAGTGATGTCTCAGCAGAGCAGAGGGGCAGAATCCCCTCCCTCGACCTGCTGGCCTCACATGCATATATGTTATATATAGAAATATGTACACATAGTCTGTGCTAGAGAACTTCAAGAATTACTGTTTTGGCACTTGACTGTCCTGTCCCAGTGCCCATGATGTTTCCCCCAGTCATCCGAGAGTGTCTTTGACATTTATTTCAGTCATCTGAAATCTGTGACATTTCAGATTTCAGTGTTCTTCCTGTGTTGCTCTGACACCTGCTCTTTTACCTTTTTTTTTGGGGGGGTGTGGGAAGTTGTTTGGTTTTGGTTTGGTTTTGTTGTAAATAATTTTTTTCTCCTCTCCTCTAGTAAATTTATTGACTTGCTGCTTTATGGACACGTGTCTTTTTGTGTATTATAATAGCATCTCTGATGCATTCCCTGCAGGACTCCAAGGGAGATCACAGTGATGAATATTCACAAAGCCATCTGTAATATTCCCTTTCTTGACTTCCTCACAAACAAACATATGAAGATACTAAATGAGGAACAATGAAATAGAGCAGAGAAGATGCTACAGGAAAGGTGGATTTATGGCTGAAGTTGGGTTGACAAATCCAGTATTTCTGTAGGACACTATTATATACGTTTATAACATTGGGCTACTAGCTTGTTACCTCCAATTAAAGATGCACCTTAATGCAACAAAATGATGCTCTGTTCCAAATCAAGTTGTTAAATGTCAGTGTTTACTTGGTAAGTGTATGTTCAGTGGCTGAACAAACATTGTCAGTTTGCATCGAGTTGCTAGCTGTGAGACTCCACAGGCCTGGTCCCTCTGAGGCAGCTGTACTGATAAGATCAAACATTTTTTTTAAGAAAAGAAATTACGCTTTTTGATGCAGTCCACATACGAGTTGATTTCCCCATGCAGTGGGTGGAGCACTTGCTTTGGCACTCTGAACATGAGAGAAGTCAAAGGCAGCTTTTAAAGGTGGGCCATTGAAGTAGATGGGTGGGTGGGTTGGTTAGGTTTGGGTGTCAGGGAGCAGAAGTCTGATGGCTGCAACAAATTCTGCCAGGCTGCTTGAGTATATGATGTTACGTGACTGAACACAGCTGGGTCAGCTTATGATTAGCTTATCAAGCTAAGTGTCACCCAACCGAAGGCCTTGCCTCTCTAGAGGAGGTGTCAGACGTCACCTTAGAAGGGGTAGACTGGCACACGCTCACTCAAGATGAACAAACTGTGGTCAGGCTTGGTAAGATGGGACTGAATGGGAAGAGAGGGGCAAGGACAGTATTCAGTGTTGGTGGGCTTGGACTGGCTGAAACCCTTTGCTTGCCCAGCAAGCGCCTGCCCAAGCTGCAAGAAGGTTTGGAGTGTGCTGGAGGGCAGGTCACCAGCTGCGTTGTACAGGTCTTAATGTTTTGATGGCATTCACTAGTGATCAGCTTGGCTTGTGAAATGCTGTGGGAGCAGAACCACTTTGGCTTAAGTTCTGCTCAACACAGAGAGGCCTGATAGGGTCAAAAGAAGTCAGAGATTTGCTGCTTTTGGGGAGCTCCTCTGATGTTGTGACTGCAGGAAGTTCTGCTACTAACCCCAGCACTTGCCTGTCTCAGGAACATCGCTGGTGTAGGAGACATGTCTGCAGCCTGGCTATCAACACCTCACTGAAGATGACTTCCCTGACAACATCCTGACCACCCCGCATCCGCCACCTCTTTGTCCTGCCCCACGGGTGCTTGCTCGTAGTGTGAATAAGCCATTGTAAAGTTGGTGGGACTCCTGTCGGACTGTCGTGCTTTCTGGGTGCTTGTGTTGTGAGGCAGTGCTGTCATGTGGGTGGAGCATGGGTCAAAACAGCCAGAACCTCCAATGCGCTGATCTCTGCTGGGTCTCTGATCTGCTGCATGGCCTTTGATTTAATCACTCTGTGCCTCAGTTTCCCCATCTCTGAGCATGGGGAGCAGGATACCTACCTCACAGGGGTGTACTGAGGCCTCGCTCTTGTTGGTGCCGTGCTTTGACAATACAAAGCCTTTTATAGACAATTAAACTACAGTTATCTTTCCTGGTCTGGGATAGGAACAGAAATCTTCAAAATGTTATCTTTTGGTGCTTTTTTTGGGCTAGAAGACAGGTGATGGTAACTCCAGTAATGTGCAGGAACTGTGGAAGACGGTTCAGTTAGGGGGAGGTTTCAGGCTTTCGAGGGGAGTAGCGTAGGCTGGATGCAGTTCTTAAACTGAAGGTGGTACTGTGTACCTCGGATGAGATGCTGCCTCTCTGCTCCACCTTAAATAAACCGGGGTCTGCAGGGAAGCCCCCCCTCGGTTCAGAGCCAACAGGGAGTTACGATTCACTTGAATAAGGGTGACAGAACCTGGCCCTTGAATCTAGGAAATGGGACCAATGGATGAAATCCAAACAGCATTCAGAGGAGGACTTAAATGCCCCCTAGAAAGGGCGTTTCGGATGCTCTGGATTCAGAAGATAATCCCGGCTCGCTGGGGTGAGCCGAGCGCAGGATTGCCCGCGCACGTGAAGCGCGCAGCTTAGCCCCGACGTTGGTGTCTCAGCGGAGGTCAGTGGGAGGAGTCGGGAGGAATCCAGGTAGCTGGGGGACTGCAAGGCCTCACGCCTCCTTTGTAGGCTGGAACGAACTCCCAAGTCCATCCTGCTTTCAGGCACCCCCGTCCGCAGCTTTTAGGGCAGAGAAGGGCATTCTCAAGGTGTCTGTCACTACCGCTGTGACAGCCCGCAGGTTGTGCGGGAACAGCCCTGTGGGCAAACTCAGTCGTGCGATCATCTTCTGCAACGACACATTTCCAGCCCCCCTCTCTTGCGGGCTCAGTTTCTAAGATTTTGATACGCCCAGAGCAGCTCTTGAGGATGCAGGAGCTCACCCTTGGGCATCTGTTAGCCAGCTGTTGGCTTCCTTGCCTGTGTCCTGCTTTTCTGTGAGGAGTGGAGTTCCGGAATGAGTCCTGAACCTGGCCCTGGAGCAGGCAGGTAAAAGCCCCTTGTTCTTAATGGGGTTCTCGCAGCGGAGAGCTATTGCTACATTTCTGAGCAATCACAGGTTATTCTCCTTGGAGATGCTACGTTAATAGTAGATAAAGTTTGCTGAAGAAAAATAAAAATCTGTTAAAAGCAGATAGAAAATAACACATTTGTTTAGTCCTTCAGATGTAGGAAATGTTTGCAACGAGTTCTTTGAATTTTGAAAAGTGGTGGGAGAAAAACTGGTTGGCAAGAAGTTCCTGTGGGAATTGCTTGGAGATACGTGAGAGGCGGTGGAATTTCATGCACCCGTTCAGGTGTGTGTGGAACGCTACGGACGATGCGGTGTGTTGAAATGTCACGGTGTGTTTCTCTGGCTTTCTGAAGAGTCTTGATACCAGTCGAAGATCTCTTTACAAATACTGCGCCTGTTTGTAATGCTGAGTGTTTAAATCCTTCATGTTATCTGTATTATACTGTATAATTGTGTAAGATACGTATGTTTACAATAAATTCTTTTATTAGCTGTGACAGGATTGTCTGATTGTCATCTGTCACTCAGAGTTTCTCCAAATCCAGAGATGTGTGTGCTTTGTATATTCGGAATGTTTTAGTTAGTTCCGGGTAAAAAGTGGTAGTTGTGGAATTGATCTGAAGGAAAAGGTAAATTTTCCCTTTTCTAGTTATTTTAAAAAGCTCTTGTTTTTTGGAGGTGTGGGGAAGGGAAGCCAGAACTCAGCAAGCTTAGCTCCTCCACCTTTTCATTCTCCAGAGCAGCCTCGTTAAACGGCAACTAATGGGTTTGCGTGGAAGACAGAGAAGCGTGGTGGGTTGAGGTTGGGCGGCTGCCAGACGCCCACCCAGCTGCTCTTGCTCCCCTTCAGCAGAACAGAGAGCGAAAATAACATGAAAAAGCTTGTGGGTCAAGATAAAAACAGGGACATTGCGTACCAATTACTGTCACAAGCAAAACAGACAACATGGGGAAAATCAGCTGAACTGCTTGCCCATTAGAGCTGGAGGGTGAGAAACGACGACGGGAACAAACACAACCTCTTTCCAAAGGCCTTCAGTCCTTCCTGATCCCACCTCGCCCCCCGGAAGAGGTGCAGGGGACTGCGGGGGTGCCCTAAACAGTCCTCTTTGCAGGGCCTTCCTCCTCCTTGTGAGCCCCTCAGCTGCCCTGAGGCGCGTGGAGCCGGCTGGAACCGGCCGTGTCGGGCCTGGGGCAGCCTCACCTCTCCTCAGAGCTCCCACAGCCCCGCTGCCACCCCGCAGCCATGGCACCTGAGGCAAAAAGGAATGGAAAAAGGTAAGAGAAGCGAACTTTGTTTTCCCTGGGCTGTGTGGAGGAATCGTAGGTGTCTGTGAGCAGACTTAGCACTCTGTTATCTTTCAAAATACTGCAAAACTCATTCTCATTTTTACTAAATGCACAGTTCATGAAAGCAGGCAAATCCTTAACGTGCTGCTTGTGAGCTTTCCGAGCTCAGGGAACGTGCTGGGCTGAGTAAGGGCTATTTCCCAGGCCAGGGCTTCACCTCAGCCTGTGGAAGGGCTGGTGCTGACAGCTCCCGGCACAGCCGGTGCGGCTGGTGGAATGAAACAACGCTGTCACCCTCGAGGCAGTGAAGTACAATGCTTCAGGTGTAAAACCTTCCTTCTAAAGGCCCTTTTTTAATGTGTCAAATGACTCTTGTTTGCAGTGTGATTCACAGTTGGAAAGCTTTGATGGACTTGGACGTGAACCCAGAGCGACTGGGAAGTCAAATATTAGTGCGAGAGCGGAGTTGGAAGCGTTCCCAGCATCGTGACTCCCTGAAGCCTATGAAACCTGTGTGGGTTTGCCCTCTTCAGAGGAACTCGGTGTGATACCCTTCGGTTTGGCTGAGGCAGGCACTTTCCATGCAAAAAAAGTCCATTGCAGATGTCAGCAGCCAGTTGCATCGCCCTGTCCCTTGCAGTGGTAAGTACCCGCTTGAATTTCCTTCCGTTCTTCCCTCCTGCTTTCCCCTGGAAGTCTTCTGAGGCGCAGCTAGGAGAGCTGGCACTGCAGTATCTGGGGAGGCTGGTTGTACCTGCAGCACCTTTACTCACTGAACTGTTCTTGGGAGCAACTGTGAAGCCATGGTCCCTGTTAAAGTTCAAAGGTAGCACCATTTTCCTGTGACCTGTGTGAGACGACGGGAGCGCGAGTTGCTTGTCCGTTTCTGTTGACAGGGCACGCTGTGGGCATGGCTGAAAGGGGGTCTTGGGAGGATGGCACCTGCATCGGAGCAGACCTAGCCTCTGCCCAATCATGAATGCAGCAAATTGTTACTGCGGTTCATCCCCTTCTCCCCTTCGTGTTGATGCACTGTTTGCTGAATGGCTTGCTTTCCCTCTGAAAACATCTAGGGAAAATCCCATCAGGGATTATGAATTCTGCAGAGCAGCAGCTTTCCTTTGGAAAGCAGCTGTGTTTCCGAATCGGCAGTCGGGCCACAGCTTGAAATGTGCCTTGGAAGCCGCTCTTGCTGGGGGGCTCTGCCTGCAGATAAGCTTGAGGGGTAAGGAATTGATTGGTGGTGGCTGTGAATGCTGTCGGGCATCCCCGTGACACCTTGCTTAGCGTCCTGTGTGCTGTGCTGTCCTGCATGTGAGGCTGTGCGAGAGGGAAACGCAGTGGCACATTGTCCTGCGAGGCTGGATACTCAAGGGTTATGTGTTACAACAGAAAAAAAGGGAAAGAACCAATAGCCAAAATACATTTTAATTTATTAAATTCAATCCAGTCCATTTCATAAAATACAAGCTTATTATATTACCAGTTTGTTTGGAACTGGGTTGATTTTTTAAATTTTTTTTAAGAAATA